CAGCTCGGGCCCCTTCAGCGACCCGCCGCCCCCACAGCCGCCCCGCAAGAGCTCCTACCCCTGCTGCCCCCTCCTGGACACGCAGCACTTCCCCGACCCCGCCACCAGGGCGGCGCTCTCCCTGCCTCACCTCCCCAAAGTCACCACCCCCTACGGCTTCGTCACCCTGGGCCAGAGCCCCCAGAGGGCCAGCGAGGAGGCCCTGTTCTTCCAGGGCGGGGCCACGACCGGAGCGCCCCGGCGCCGGAGCACGGAAGAGGAGCGGACCCCCCCCCTGAACTCCGCTGCCCCCTCCCGAACTGCCCCTCCGGACCCCCGCGCCCGACGCCCCTCCCTCCTGGCCCAGCCGCCCCCCTCAGGAGCCGCCCTGCCAGGTGCGCCCCACACATCCAGGTTCCTGGGTCTCCTGCGGAAACACCTGTCTCGGCTGAGGGAGATGGGGCAGCCTTGTGACCCCCACATCGCTGCGCGAGAGCAGGGGGGCCCCTCTCACACGCAGCCCTGTGTCCTTTAAGGAGCCCTTATTCCTCTGGGCTTCCAGCAGAGCCTTCCGGTGTTGTCTTTATATCCGTGATGTGGGCAGAGAGAATGTTCTGTTCCTCCTTGTGTCGCACCTCTGCACTGCCTTTCTGTGAAAAGATCTGAGATCTGTGCCTTGATGTCGTCAGAATGATTAAAGAATAATACAATTCCCTTCTCTCTCTCTCTCTGTGCTGCCTCTACCTCACACACCTGGGCTTCTCGAGAAATACAATCGGTCTGGGACTTGAAAGTGAAGCCTTCTGAGCCGCTGGTGACACTTCTGGGGAGCGCAGGGTGGACCAGACCGGACCAGGATTGGTTTCCCGGGTTACAATCTCTTTGGACCCCCTCTCCCCTCTCCCCTCTCCCCTCTCTCTCAGCTTTGCTGTCCTGCCTCGTTCCCCCTCCCCAGCCTGGCATATCTTCTTCATAATAATAATAAATCCCCACCCTTATAAATCATTCTGGACACTCCACTCAGAGCTCTTTACAGGAGGCCATGATGGGTAAAGGCCAGGGGGAAATTTGGCCAGGACACTGGGGTAACACCCCTACTCTTTTCAAAGAACACCCTGGGATTTTTAATGACCACAGAGAGTCAGGACCTCTCATCCAAAGGAAAGCACCTTTTTACAGTACAGTGTCCCCGTCACTATACTGGGGCATTAGGACCCACACAGACTGCAGGGTGAGCGCCCCCTGCTGGCCCCACTCACACCTCTTCCAGCAGCAGCCTCAGCTCTCCCAGGAGTCTCCCCTCCAGGTACTGGCCAGGCTCACGCCTGCTGGGCTCCAGTGGGCTGCCAGCTGGGAGCTGCAGGGTGACAGGGCTGGTGGCTATGCTGGGTGTTCTTACTGGCTGTTTGTCTGCCTTCCTGGTGAATCCCCTTCTGCCCTGCCCCCTCGCCCCGTCTGGCCACAGCTCATGAAGTGCCGCACTCGAGAGGAGGGGGGCTTCCACTCTGCGGCTGCTCCCACCTCCTCCCCCCTCCC